ACTTATCAGAAGCCTTGACTGTAAGAAAGCCACTGGCCCAGACAAAATTTGGTTGTCCTTAAGAATATCAACTTGGAATTATCCCTGATCCTAGCAAAGTTATTTAACTGCTGCTTGAAGGAGAAATCCTTCCCAAGCCCGTGGAAGTAGTCAGGCATATGCCTGGTCTTCAAGAATGTGGGGGAGTGATCTTCCACTTCTCAGTATAGACCCATCAGTCACCTCAGTATTATCAGTCAGCTTTTTGAGGCCATAATCAACAAGAAGGTCGTCGGGCACCTAGATAGGAACAACCTCTTGTGTAACTAACAGTATGGATTTTGATCAGCCTGATCCACTGCTGACATTGTAACTACCATTACACACAGAATTGGTGAGGCCCTTGATGGCACACACATCACAATGTCCATAGTATTAGATGTCTCAAAGGCCTTTAACAAGGTGTGGCACAAAAGTTTGCTTCACAAGCTCTTCAGCGATGGAATCAATGAAAGGGTTTTCTCTGTTATAAAATCCTTCCTGAAATAGTTATTAATGGCCTGTCCTCTGGGGCCCTGGTGGTCAATGCAGGTATCCCCTAGGAGTCACCTCTCTGATCAACCCTCTCGTTGATTTACATAAATGATCTGCCTAAGAATATTCTCAGATCATTTGTAAACATTTATGCTGATGGTTGTGGTGTGTAACGCAACAATTCAACTGATGATAACAGGTAGGCACAAAGAAACACGGTGTCGCACGTCCAACCTTCTCACGAGCTGAAAGCCCTCTCGTCCCAAACAGCAAAAACGAGCCTGCTTTATACAGCCGCGGACCGACCACGATTTGCATGCGAATGATGAGACAACGAGATTTCGCGTTAACTAATCGAGACCGCCCGGCATAAAACGTGGGTGCCGCCATTTTGGTTTTTCTTTTACCGTTGGAAGGACCAGAGTTTTGCATACTGCGCAGATTCGAACGCGTTTCCAAGGTAAACCGTTTTCACAATTTTCCCCACAATGGTACAATGATATAGTGATTTTTCTAAGCGTAGCTTGGATGTGGCACAAGGCTGAAAGTAAGGGGCACCCAGTGAGGATTGAACTCACTACTCAGTTGTAATTGTTCTAGCGAGACAAGCTTGCTAACCATTACACCACCTCAAGGTGCTCTGATGGTACAATGATATAGTGATTTTCCAAGCGTAGCTTGGATGTGGCACAAGGCTGAAAGGGGCACCCAGTGAGGATTGAACTCACTACTCAGTCGTAATTGTTCTAGCAAGACAAGCCTGATAACAATTACACCACCTCAAGGTGCCCTGATGGTACAATGATATATGGGTGCACCTCTAATTCTCTTAATTGGAGATTTCTTAACAGTGCAAAAGTGGGCTGCTGAATTTAGGAGTGGAAGAGTCTTGAAGATGACTCAAGGTGTAGATCTTCTGCAACTGCCACCACCAAGGAAAACATTGATCATTTTCACCACATGGTAATGGATGATAAGTGATTGACTATAAATCAAATAGCCAATGTTATTAGCATATTCCATAAGAGAGTTGATAATATTCTGCACAATGATCTTTCATCCTGCTCCAAAGACGGCAATGGTAGTTTCATCTGTAGGGAAGGTGATAGCCTCAGCCTTTTAGGATGTGAAAGGCATTGTGTTTATTGACTATTTTCAAAAGGGCCACACCACCAATGGAGAGTACTATCCAACTTGGTGAGGCAATTATGAAAGGCTATCAAGACCAAACGCCCAAGAAAACTGACAAAAGGAGTTTTGTTTCATCAAGGCAATGCTCCTGGATACACATCCATGGTTTCAGTGGCTGCTCTGTTTGACTGTGGCTTTGAACTGATTGATCACTGTTCTCTTTGGTCCCATCTGACTATCATCTGTTCCCCAACATGGAAAAACACTTGGTTGGGAACTCGTATGACAGTGATGATGATGTCATATCTGCTATTGATTACTTTTTCGACCAATGGGATCCAAGTACTGAAACACTGATGGAAGAAGTTTGTGGACTTCATGAGGGATCAGGTTGAAAAATAAAACTCATTTGATCACATTCCATAAGGGTATCTTGGTGAGCCTATGAACTTTTCAGCCAACACTCTTGCAAAATTAGAACTTACATTCTTTATCCTTAGAAGCCTTTCTTAGGTAGTTACCTTATTGCAATCTCTAGCCCATCATTCTATCATCATTAGTAAGCAGCATAGATTGGAAGTAAAGAATAAGCCTTGAATTTGTATTCCTTACTTTTTTTTTTTTTTTTTTTGTAGGATTGGCAGTTATCACTGATTTATCAAATACTAGCAGTAGAGCCCGGCATTGCCCGGGGATGTAACAGTAAGAGATAGATCAAGTATCGACCATCATAAAGACTGAAAAATAAAATTGACAAAGATTATTGTTTAAGGTTGATGGACATGCATGGCTTAATTAGTTTTTTTTTTTTTTTTTTTTTTTTTAATTGATCAAACCCAAACTCAAACAAAAACATTGTTTTCAATCATTATGAGTCTACCGATTGAATAGAATTTTATTATAAACAATTGTCTTGTAAATGGAATTTTTAAAGCATTCTGAATGTAAAAATAAAGAAAAAAGTGTGCAAGACAATAAGAAACACTACCTGCCAAAAAAAAAGTGAAGTTTTGTTGAAATTGGTTGAAAAATCTAGGAAATCCGATCCCATATATAAATGAACACACACACACACAAACAACCTGGGTTTTATAATAAGTATAGCTCGTTATGAGTTGTCCCCCTTTCATTCGTGCAAAAACAATTGTTTTTCCAATTTTTGGCACTGTCAGAACCACCGCAAGGTAATTTTATGTAGTCCTGTGAAGTTTTGTTGAAATCGGTTGAAAAATGTAGGAAATCTGATCCAATATATAAACGTACAGACACACACACACACACACACAACCTGGGTTTTATAATAAGTATGATTGCCAGTTATTTGTTTTTGACTAGCATTTCTTTCCTATCTTTTCTGTTATTTTATTACAACACTGAGACTGCCATTTGACATCTGTAATAAGAAAACTTATGTTAATTCTTTCTTTTATTTTTGTTATTTACTTGCTTTCAATCCTGTGTTCCTGATGTAGCTGCCTGACCAATCATGGCCATGGGGATCATCACTCACATAAACTCTGATCTAACCATATAAATTTCATATTGTTTATAATTTTGACGATTCTCAATGTTGATAAGTTTTAACTTTGCTTCATTTCTGATCCTTAAAAAGAGAAATTTTAATTTCTTCAGGTAAGAGAAGCTGACAGGGAGGAGGTGGGGATAAGTATTCATGAATATGTCGAAAATTTCAGCAATGTAAGAAACCTGGACACAAAACCTATACCAGCAGCGACATATTCCATTTATTCTTTATTTTCTTTGAAGCCTGATATGCTGTCATCTTTGTTTGATATCTACATAGGTTTCTTTTTTTTCTGTCTATCCTCTTCCTCCCAGCCATGGGTTACTTCAGTGATTCTCAACCACCATACTGCGGCACACTAGTGTGCTGCGAAATGTTGTCATAGCATATATGCACAGATATATATATATATATATATATATATATATATATATATATATATATATACTTACACACATACATATATATTACTACTTACATACATACACACACACACACACACACACACACACACATATATATATATTACTACTTACATACATACACACACACACATATATATATTACTACTTAAATACACACACACATATATATATATATATATATATATATATATATATATAATTAAGAAATGGACAAGGTCCGACAATTTATTTATTAAAGACATTTTATTATGTTTAACGTTGTTTTTTATATACGTGTTAAGAAATGTCCTGTTTAAAAGAAACAATATTTTCTATGAAAATTTCTCGGACATTCATGTCGGTAATGTTATTTAATACTGTTTATCATAAACAGAGCATTTGCTTAAATACTTGTATCTATAAAATAACAACGTTAAACATAATAAAATGTCTTTAATAAATATATATATATATATAACATTACTACTTACACATGCACAGACGTATATGTGTGTATAAGTAGTAATGGTACATCAAAAATAAGAAGAAAGAATGACTATGAAGACTACTGAAGAAGTAAGGGTCTGCTTATCGCACATTAAAAAAACACTAGGCACAGGTTTCCCACTAAAAAAGCTGTACAAATTGTTGAATAGAACCATTGAACTAAAGTAAGTTCATATTTGTGTGTGTATTTGTTTTTTATCTATGGTTTTATTTCATAATATTTAAATGTATACCATTTAAAAATCTTGTTAAATGTGCTGTGATATTTTTATTTGTTCTTAGGTGTGCCGTTGCTTAAAAAGGTTGAGAAACACTCCTCTATAACATATAGGGACACAGACAATATATGTGTTATAGATTTTAGACTTCATATGATATGGAACAGGTTTTCTTGTTAGAGCAAACTTGTTCTCCACAAATGTAGCCCACTCCAATTCAATTCTATATTGCAATCATTCCACACTGGATCGAACTTAAGTAGTAATGGTACAGCATTAGTATTTTACTAAAAAACTGCACAAATAGTTGAATAGAACCATTGAACTAAAGTAAGTTCATATTTGTGTGTGTATTTGTTTTTTATCTATAGTTTTATTTCATAACATTTAAATGTATACCATTTAAAAATCTTGTTAAATGTGCCGTGATATTTTCATTTGCTCCTAGGTGTGCTGTTGTTTAAAAAGGTTGAGAAACATTGGATTATTTGTATCTGGAAAAATTCTTTATTCTCAAAAAAAAAATTGTTAATGGAAAATTTGCTTAGGAAAAAAAAAAAAAAAAATTCTTACAATCCACAAAATATTTCAGCTTTAAATAACCAACAAAAGGTTGATAAGCTGTAAAAAAAACAAAAACAAAAAAAACAAATTAATCAATCTACTTTCTAACTCTGAAATGTATCTTCTTTTTTTTTCCAGTTGATCTTCATAATCGTCACAACATCCATTCCTCTCCACAGAATAACATTCCAGCTGACAACGAACCACACGTCCACATCATTTATGGCGGCCAGAATGGGACGGTGGTACTTGACACTGCCACAGACTCTAACGTAGACCTGGATTGCTCTCCGCCTTCCTATGAGGAAGCAATATCAATGCCGAGCCGACCTGCCCCGGGACTGTTTTTGTTTGGAGGAGCTACGGACACTGCCTCAGCTGCCAGCACCACTACCACTACCACTGCCGAAGCCACTCCCACAGCTGCCTCTGTGGCTTCTACCACACCTACGGAAGTGATAGGTGCTGTGGGTGGGGCTCCATCCAAATCTGGGATGGGATCAACAAGTGGTGCACTGGACTGCTGATGATCTTTCTCCTGTATTATTTTAAGGATTTCTCAGCCTCATGCCAAGTCTTTCAAATCATTTCAAGTGTAGATATCACTAGTCATTGGGAAGGAGAAAAATGAAGAAAATTATTGTAAAAACACAAAAACTAAAACAATAAGACAATTATAAATATCTAAGTATAATTATTATATATGTTTAGAATTAAAACTGAGAATATACATAGAAACCTATGTTTAATGGCATATTAGAGTAATTGACGAATTTTGTTTCTTCCCACACTTTGTGTTCAATGGTAATGTGTTGTCTGCCTCCCACTCCAAAAAAAAAAAAATAATTAGTCACTGTAGAAAGTCTATAATTAATTACAATTGGTTGAAACCGAGTTGTTCCCTAACAAGTTGGAATTGGCTTAATGAATTCAGCTTGTTTTCTGTCAGATCTAACATTAGGAATTATCAAGTACAAGGAATCTGGCCTTCTTCATAAACTAGACCTGCATGTTAATCCTAATCCCCCCTCTCTGTCTACTTTGCTGTTATTATATAACAATAAAGATTATGTTTTGCCAAAAAAAAAAAAAAAAAATGACACGATTAACCAGGGTATTTCTGGGAGATAACTTATAAGGCAAATGGTCTTTGTAATTAATTTTTACTGCTGTTTATTCAATACAAGGCTTAAGTGCCACTCAAGGTAGAGCATTACTGATTGGTGATGTTGTAAGTGTGTATGTGTGGGAGTGCAAGTGTTACATATTATGGGGATATGTAGGATAGGTAACAGTTGACCCTCAACCTGAAGAGGTTAAGATTGTAATGATCTGGGAAGTATCCCTTTGGAATAACATTCCATATTGCAAGAGATCTAGGGAAGAAATTACTCCTCACCATTCGGAAAGGGAGGGAATCGATGGTGTGCCTGGCATGGTGGGTTCTAGCTGTGAATGTCTGGAGTGGAACCAAAGAATGTAGTTTATTTGAACATCTGCCATGAAAATAGTGGTAGAGGCTAGCAATGTTTTATCTGTGGGGAAAGGGGTTGTAGAGGTGGAAAGCAATTCCTCACCCACAAGGCTGCGCAAATACTTTTGAATTCATTCAAGGCTGGATTGGCCAGTTCTGGTTCAGATTTAATACCATCATTCCATTTTTGGTCTCATCTGTTTCTTGTAAAGCAAGAGCATGGTAGGAATCTGGTACCTTCTGGAATGGTACAGGGAATCTACTATTTTTCCAGTGTGTTTAGCAATGGAATGTATATACAAGTTCTACTTGAGGTCAGGTGTTAGCTTCATCCCCAATAGACGTTCCAGGAAAGGAACCTCCTTGAGAGTACAATCGTTCATGCCTGGTGAAAAATCAGGGTCTGCTCTGTGAGGAAACAAGCTTGGTTTTTAAGATATTAAAGTTACAAGCAAATTAATAATATAGCATAAAAAGAGTAGAGCTGAAGAGAGAACCTTGAGCAATGCATTGAGCTCATGGGTCACAGAGGATTTGCCATTAACAACAACCTTCATGGACCTATCTAAGAGGAAGGACTTGATAATAAAACGACACTACCTTCATGGACCTACTCTTACATTATTTGGACTATTGGACTTTGATAATCTATAAAAAATAATACCCTTCGGCAGATCAATTCTGTGCTTTGTGAATAGCTGGTAATTTATACTATTTACATTATTTGGACTATTGTTTTTATTTTTGGGCCTACGGGCTCCGGACATACCCACATTAAAAGGCCTTTGTGCCATTCAATTCCTGTGGGTGATTTGATTAATACCATGTTTTGGCCATTGTTATTACAATGTTTTGGCCGTTTATGCTTCTTTCAGGTGGTTGGAATGTTGAATTGAACCCTTTATTTCGCTCACTGGGGTAGACTGTTCTAGTTTCATGTGCTATGTTTAATGGATATCAGTTATCTCCTGTTAATTACCCTCTAAATAATAAATATGGCGACAAAGATGAGGACAATAGTTCAAATAATGTAAATAGTGTACATAATACTTCATCTCAGAAATATAGACAGATACTGTGTAATTTGTTTCACCCCCTATGCCACACCTTGTCAGAAGCCGTAGGTAGCTAAGGTGATGGCTCTCATGATGGATTTATCATCAAGCATTTCACTGATTCTATGCATATTGACTGTCAGACCATCAGTTGCGGATCTAGAGGAGTGAAATCCATACTGTTTGTCACTCAGGAGGTTGTTACTGTTGAGGTCATTGACAACCTTCTTGTTGATGGTAGCCTCAAAAGGTTAGCTGATGACTCTGAGGAGGCTGATGAGGTAATATTGTGATGAGGATGAGCACTCACCCACATTCTTGTAAACTGGGCATACAGCTGACACCTTCCATAGACCTAAGAAACATTTCTTCTTCAGAAAGTGGTTAAATAATTTTGCCAAGATTGGCGATAGCTCACGGCTAAGATTCTTATGAACAACTACATGAATTTTATCTAGACCAGTAACCTTTGTAGAGTCGAGGCTTTTTATAAATCTGGAGACTTCCCTTAGCGAGACATATTGCAAAGTTTGTGTTCCATTGGGGGAGTGGTGTCAGGTAGGGGATGGCCTTTGTCATCTAGTGCGGAGTTAGAGGCAAAGTTCATTACAAAGATCTTTGCCTTATCTGTTGAGAATCTTATTTGAAATTTTCCAGAACTTGTGGAAGGTGTTTCTTTTCAACTTTGACTGCTTGTGCATGGCTATGGTTAGCATTTTACAAAACTCATGTGCACTGATTGCGAAAGTAGTAAATGGTTCTGTTACACGGCTCCTTCTGATTGTAGTAAGAGTAACAGAGAGCTGTAGCCACAGCAGGTTCGGAAGTGGAACCAGGCTGGTTATTTGGCCATTGTTGGTACTATTTTGGCCATGAAACTTTCCATACCTGAATAAACCTATTCAGAAATGAAGGAGGCTGTCTGAGAGGCTCTATTTTCTGAAGAATGCTGTGAGAGGAGCTTTGGTACTGTATTATCTGAAGCTATCAGTTATCTTGGGTGTATCAGTACATTGTTCTATGAAATGAGATATCGGAGGTTGTGTTCTGTTCGGCATCAGCTTTGACATTGACCAGTGAGTGGTCTGTGGTGCCCAAGGAAGGTAACTCTTCAACAAGACATTTGTCGGGAGAAGTGCTCAGTATCAAGAAATAGAGCATTAATAGTAACAAAATGAATTGAACGTTTAATTTCTTTTTCTCTCTCACTCACTCACTCACTCACTCACACACACACGAAAGTGAGAGGTACTGAAAAGTTCTTTGTCTGACCCAGTTCCCCAAATTTGTACTTTGAGGTTCAATGATTTTGGGAAGTGGGCTGGGTCAAGTACTTTCTGCACCTACAGCTCTACATGTGTATATTGAGCATTCTTCAGTCATAGATATAGCAAATTTGAAACATATGTAGGGACAAATGATTTTCAAACTGTGTCACTATTCCTTCAGTGCAGTCTCTCTCTCACACACACACACACACACACACACACACACACACACACACACACACACACACATATATATATGATTGAATAAATTATAAACATTGCTTATTTTTTTCATAATTCTTCCATATTCATGAATATGAAAGGGTTATGTTTGTAATTTATTCAATCAGACATGCCTAAAAGAGAATTTACTGCCTAAATACACAAATATATAAATAAAGCAAATATGAAAGTGTACATTACAGTCAACACCCAGAGGTAACAGTCTGTTTCATGTTAAATGCAATTGGCAGGCCATGTATGTTGTGTTCTTGCTCAATTATTTATATATACAGATCAGTGATGCATTGTGGGTAGTCTATTGTATTATTCTAAGGGTTATAGAAAATGTAATAACAACCAACAATAAAATAATAATAAATTGAAAAAAAGTTAACACTATAAACAGTCAAAAAAGATGCATCTGGCTTCACAATTATTCCCACTCAATAGTCTCTAGAATAATTTTAAGCATAATTCTTACTGCCCACCAAAATAACCATTAGAATAATACAAAACACTACACACAATGCATCACTGGCCTGTTAACTATGTTTAGCCTGTCACATCTAGGTGCTGATGTCAGTGTCGACTTTTATATTTACAAATGCTTTATCCCTGATATTGAGCACTTTATCCCATAAATTTAGCATAACTTAGATATTTTATTGTGTGTACTTTTATTCCATAAATTTAGCATAATATATATAGTTATATTTTATATATATATATATATATATATATATATATATATATATATATATATATATATATATATATATATATATATATATATATATATATATATATATATATATATATATATATTATATTTATATATATATATATTATATATATATATATATATATATATATATATATATATATATATATATATATATATATATATATATATATATATATATATATATATATATATATATATATATATATATATATATATATATATATATATTATATATATATATTATTATATATATATATATATATATATATATATATATATTATATATATATATATATATATATATATATATATATATATATATATATATATTATATATATATATATTATATATATATATATATATATATATATATTATATATATATATATATATATATATATGTCCCACAAAATTAATACAAATGGTCTACCTTTCATATATAGGTGTCATTTGCAGACAGTACTGTTTTGCTGTATCACAGCTCCTCACTGTGGCTAGATGTCCAAAAGCCTCAAGTCAGGATCAAAACCCGACTGATTTGCTGTCAGAATTTCTACCCCTAAGCCATCAGCACTCGGATACACATACACACACACACTGTTGTATGTAGATATAGCACAGTTATGACAGATTTATTTTTTACCAAATATGTAACTCTGTATGTACAGAGCTCCGGTGTTAACCTTTCTATTCTCTGAGATTATCGAGAAAATACTTGATGGGCTGACATGAGTCCTTTTTGTTAGTTATAGAAAGATACAGT